TATAAAAGTTACAGTGTAGTTTAAGATGTGAATAGTTCAATTAAAAGCAGCGACAAAAAGAAAAGTCTTCAGCCTGGATTTAAAAGTAGTCAGAGTTGCAGCGGACCTGCAGGTTTCTGGGAGTTTGTTCCAGATATTTGGAGCATAATAACTGAACACTGCTTCTCCATGTTTAGTTCTGACTCTGGGGACAGAAAGCTGACCAGTCCCTGAAGACCTGAGAGATCTGGATGGTTCATAATTTAGCAGGAGGTCAGAAATGTATTTTGGGCCTAAACCATTCAAAGCTTTATAAACCAGCAGCAGTATTTAGAAATCTATTCTTTGACACACAGGAAGCCAGTGTAAAGACTTCAGAACAGGAGTGATGTGATCCACTTTCTTAGTGTCAGTGAGGACTCGAGCAGCGGCGTTCTGAATCAGCTGCAGCTTCCTAATAGATTTTTTAGTGAGACCTGTGAAGACACCATTGCAGTAGTTGAGTCTACTGAAGATAAAAGCATGGACAAGTTTTTCCAAATCCTGCTGTGACATTAGTCTTTTAATCCTAGATATGTTCTTTAGGTGATAGTAGGCTGATTTAGTAACTGTTTTAATGTGACTGTTGAAACTCAGGTCAGAGTCCATGACAACACCTAGATTTCTGGCTTTATCTGTTGTTTTGAACATTGCACACTGAAGCTCAGCGCTAACTTTTATACGTTCTGCCTTGGCTCCAAAAACCATTACCTCAGTTTTATCTTTGTTTAATTGGAGAAAGTTCTGACACATCCAGTCATTGATTTGTTCAATGCACTTACTCAGTGTTTGAATTGGAGCATAGTCTCCTGGTGAAATTGTTACCTAAATGTGTGTCATCTGCATAGCTATGGTAACTTATTTTGTTGTTCTTCATTATCTGAGCCAGTGGTAGCATGTAGATGTTAAAGGGAAGAGGCCCCAGGATGGAGCCTTGAGGAACCCCACATGTCATATTTGTCAACTCAGATGTGTATTTACCTATAGAAACAAAGTTGTTTCTGTCCTTTAAGTAGGATTCAAACCAATTTAGAACTGTTTCCGAAAGTCCCACCCAGTTTTCCAGTCGGTCTAGTAATATGCTGTGGTCAACAGTGTCACACGCAGCACTGAGATCTGAGAGCTACATCTGAGATGTAGGCAAAAGTAATCATTGTTACAGCATTATTCTTATCTATGATTGAGAAATATGCTCATTTTCAGGTGTATATCAGTATGTAGTGTCTCTACTTTAAAGAGTCCTCTCCTGCTGATGTTCAGGTGTATATCAGTATGTAGTGTCTCTACTTTAAAGAGTCCTCTCCTGCTGATGTTCAGGTGTATATCAGTGTGTAGTGTCTCTACTTTAAAGAGTCCTCTCCTGCTGATGTTCAGGTGTATATCAGTATGTAGTGTCTCTACTTTAAAGAGTCCTCTCCTGCTGATGTTCAGATGTATATCAGTATGTAGTGTCTCTACTTTAAAGAGTCCTCTCCTGCTGATGTTCAGGTGTATATCAGTATGTAGTGTCTCTACTTTAAAGAGTCCTCTCCTGCTGATGTTCAGATGTATATCAGTATGTAGTGTCTCTACTTTAAAGAGTCCTCTCCTGCTGATGTTCAGGTGTATATCAGTATGTAGTGTCTCTACTTTAAAGAGTCCTCTCCTGCTGATGTTCAGGTGTATATCAGTATGTAGTGTCTCTACTTTAAAGAGTCCTCTCCTGCTGATGTTCAGGTGTATATCAGTATGTAGTGTCTCTACTTTAAAGAGTCCTCTCCTGCTGATGTTAAGGTGTATATCAGTATGTAGGGTCTCTACTTTAAAGAGTCCTCTCCTGCTGATGTTCAGGTGTATATCAGTATGTAGTGTCTCTACTTTAAAGAGTCCTCTCCTGCTGATGTTCAGGTGTATATCAGTATATAGTGTCTCTACTTTAAAGAGTCCTCTCCTGCTGATGTTCAGGTGTATATCAGTATGTAGTGTCTCTACTTTAAAGAGTCCTCTCCTGCTGATGTTCAGATGTATATCAGTATGTAGTGTCTCTACTTTAAAGAGTCCTCTCCTGCTGATGTTCAGGTGTATATCAGTATGTAGTGTCCTCTACTTTAAAGAGTCCTCTCCTGCTGATGTTTCAGGTGTATATCAGTATGTAGTGTCTCTACTTTAAAGAGTCCTCTCCTGCTGATGTTCAGGTGTATATCAGTGTGTAGTGTCTCTACTTTAAAGAGTCCTCTCCTGCTGATGTTCAGGTGTATATCAGTATGTAGTGTCTCTACTTTAAAGAGTCCTCTCCTGCTGATGTTCAGATGTATATCAGTATGTAGTGTCTCTACTTTAAAGAGTCCTCTCCTGCTGATGTTCAGGTGTATATCAGTATGTAGTGTCTCTACTTTAAAGAGTCCTCTCCTGCTGATGTTCAGATGTATATCAGTATGTAGTGTCTCTACTTTAAAGAGTCCTCTCCTGCTGATGTTCAGGTGTATATCAGTATGTAGTGTCTCTACTTTAAAGAGTCCTCTCCTGCTGATGTTCAGGTGTATATCAGTATGTAGTGTCTCTACTTTAAAGAGTCCTCTCCTGCTGATGTTCAGGTGTATATCAGTATGTAGTGTCTCTACTTTAAAGAGTCCTCTCCTGCTGATGTTCAGGTGTATATCAGTATGTAGGGTCTCTACTTTAAAGAGTCCTCTCCTGCTGATGTTCAGGTGTATATCAGTATGTAGTGTCTCTACTTTAAAGAGTCCTCTCCTGCTGATGTTCAGGTGTATATCAGTATATAGTGTCTCTACTTTAAAGAGTCCTCTCCTGCTGATGTTCAGGTGTATATCAGTATGTAGTGTCTCTACTTTAAAGAGTCCTCTCCTGCTGATGTTCAGATGTATATCAGTATGTAGTGTCTCTACTTTAAAGAGTCCTCTCCTGCTGATGTTCAGGTGTATATCAGTATGTAGTGTCTCTACTTTAAAGAGTCCTCTCCTGCTGATGTTCAGGGTGTATATCAGTATGTAGTGTCTCTACTTTAAAGAGTCCTCTCCTGCTGATGTTCAGGTGTATATCAGTATGTAGTGTCTCTACTTTAAAGAGTCCTCTCCTGCTGATGTTCAGGTGTATATCAGTATGTAGTGTCTCTACATTAAAGAGTCCTCTCCTGCTGATGTTCAGATGTATATCAGTATGTAGTGTCTCTACTTTAAAGAGTCCTCTCCTGCTGATGTTCAGGTGTATATCAGTATGTAGTGTCTCTACTTTAAAGAGTCCTCTCCTGCTGATGTTCAGGTGTATATCAGTATGTAGTGTCTCTACTTTAAAGAGTCCTCTCCTGCTGATGTTCAGGTGTATATCAGTATGTAGTGTCTCTACTTTAAAGAGTCCTCTCCTGCTGATGTTCAGGTGTATATCAGTATATAGTGTCTCTACTTTAAAGAGTCCTCTCCTGCTGATGTTCAGGTGTATATCAGTATGTAGTGTCTCTACTTTAAAGAGTCCTCTCCTGCTGATGTTCAGATGTATATCAGTATGTAGTGTCTCTACTTTAAAGAGTCCTCTCCTGCTGATGTTCAGGTGTATATCAGTATGTAGTGTCTCTACTTTAAAGAGTCCTCTCCTGCTGATGTTCAGGGTGTATATCAGTATGTAGTGTCTCTACTTTAAAGAGTCCTCTCCTGCTGATGTTCAGGTGTATATCAGTATGTAGTGTCTCTACTTTAAAGAGTCCTCTCCTGCTGATGTTCAGGTGTATATCAGTATGTAGTGTCTCTACATTAAAGAGTCCTCTCCTGCTGATGTTCAGGTGTATATCAGTATGTAGTGTATCTACTTTAAAGAGTCCTCTCCTGCTGATGTTCAGGTGTATATCAGTATGTAGTGTCTCTACTTTAAAGAGTCCTCTCCTGCTGATGTTCAGATGTATATCAGTATGTAGTGTCTCTACTTTAAAGAGACCTCTCCTGCTGATGTTCAGGTGTATATCAGTATGTAGTGTCTCTACTTTAAAGAGTCCTCTCCTGCTGATGTTCAGGTGTATATCAGTATGTAGTGTCTCTACTTTAAAGAGTCCTCTCCTGCTGATGTTCAGGGTGTATATCAGTATGTAGTGTCTCTACTTTAAAGAGTCCTCTCCTGCTGATGTTCAGGTGTATATCAGTATGTATTGTCTCTACTGTGACATGTCTCCATGCTCTAATGTTCAACAAACTCTTTATTTTTCTCATACTGCCTGTGCTGCAGCACCTCTTTTTACCCTCTGGCCATTTCTCAATGTCGAGTATAACTGCTGCAGAGCAACTATTTCAAGTATACTACGTCATAGAGTGGCGCAGAATGCTGGGCATTTAACATGCATTTAAACAGCCCTTCGGCGCCACTCGATGACATACTGTAGTATACTTGAAATAGTTGCTCTGCAGCAAGTTTACTCGACATTGAGAAACGGCCATTGTCTGAAACCAGAGCCCAGTCTGCGCTGATCGGTAGCTGGCTGGCTCTGTTATGATAGGTCAACCACTTAGAGATGTCCCGCTCCTTAGCCTATCACGTACAATGTGTTGGATCGCTAGCCAATAGAAGTGAAAGTGTTACCTATTGATGTCACTATTTTCCAGAAGTAAACAAACAAGTTAATGGACTCTGCCGCTCGCTAATACTTGTATTTAGATGGTATTTCAACCCATATTCATAATTTTTTCGAATATTGTGCTTCCTGCGATTTTAATATTATTTATTTATTGTGATTTCAATAACGTTTCGATAAATGTTGCAGCTGCTTTTGAGAAGACCTAATATATACTTCATTTATTATCAAATGTGCCCATTCTTAGTTGCATTTATGCTTTGTTCAACCCCTCAGCCTTTATATTTGCATCCTTAAATGTCCATGTTATATATAAGGCCACCTTACTCTGTATTTTGTTGCCTCATCATATTCTTGTATTGACTTCTAGAGTGTATTTTATCCAAGCGGCCCTTATCTCTAACTTGTTGACTTTGATTTCTCCCTTTAGCATCCGAGGCAGCCGGCGACAGCAGTGAAACCCCATTGGCTGATTGAGGTAACTGCTGCATGACATCACCAGCTGGGGCCATTACGCTGTATAGGGAAAAAACATTAGAGGCAAATTAGATACTTTGGGTGGCTTCACAAATAGACTGGGAGTCATTTACCCAACGTATTGCTTCTCCAATGGTCTGTAGAAACAAAACACTTCGTTGGGTCTCTTTCTCAGCAGATCTCAGCCCTTTATTTGTCATTGTATGTCTCTTTGTTACCTACCTCAACTGTCTTCCTGTCTCTTTCTCTCTCTCTCACTCACTCACACACACACACACACACACACACACACACACACACACACACACACACACACACACACACACACACACACACACACACACACACACACTTTAAGACACAAATCCTCTCCCCTGCTCCTGGCTTTTACAATAGAGCACTGATCAAAGGCATCCGTCTTTACATGCCTGCCCTGATAGTTCCATAATGGGCCCATAACGTGAACATTGGGCTCCATTGTTTACGCTATTAGTCACACAGGCTTATGGAAAATTACTGCGATGCTATATTGAAAAGCCATCAGCAGCGGCGGCGGTAATGCTGCAGCAGCTCCGTGCCAAGATGCTATCTATCACACGTGCATGTTTCCTCTCCTCTCTGCACACAAAGCTGTTATGAAACGGCAATCTGTTAGCACGTCGTCGTCGTGTAATGATGAAGGCTTCCTTGATGACATGATATAGGGTTCAGCATAGCGGAACATGTGTTGGCTGTTCATGATACAACATAAATATTATATATACCATGACTGATAAGACGACACAGTGCAGCAGAAGGGTTTGTTTATCTAAGGACACTAAGGATAATAATAAGCTACTTGATTTTATATTATAATTGAATGATACGCATATTATCTACTAATGGCTACGTTGGTATTTTATTAAACCTATATGCAGAAGCCCATTTTGCGTTATGTACCCCTTACCTTAATTGCAGATTTAATTATCTTCTTAATTAAGGGACATTTTAATTATCAGATTTATTATAAAAATATATTGCAACTGTGTTTTTTGTTTGTTTGTTTTTAAATCGCATGGTCTAACGATTTGTCCACCGAGGCTTAAATAATATCTTATTATTTTAAATAATTTAACAGCATTTATAGTAGCTATAACTCGACCAGCTACAACATTAAGAACCTGTTAATGCATCATTTAGAATAACCCAATTATACTATAAAACCTTTGTAAATAATTAAATATTATGGATCATTTCGCCTTCTTAAACTTTTGTACATATTCCTGATAAAACTTTTTCCAAGTAACAATATTACTTCTGATTGAGTGCTTTTACATTGAGTGCTGTTGCTTTCACCTAACAAAGGGTCCTAACACCTCTGCTGTGTCTGCATAGATAGAGCTTGTAACAGGGAGTTATTATAAGAGTTTCACAACTTTATATTATTATTAGCGCAATAGGAGAGCCACAGTGATTAACGCTTGGCACCGGGCTCGATATATTTTTCTATGTTGTGTGGCGGCCTCATGGTGACACATACGAGTCAATCAGAGAGGCCGATTCACCACAGAACAGGCTCTGCGGCTTAATTAAAGTGATGTTTCAAACTGCCACCTGGCACACACACACACACACACACATTACAGCCACCCATACAGCACACTACACACACACCATCACACACTGGCAGTACACGGAAACATACACCAAGTCCTTTTACACATTAGCCATATGGCTCACTTCACACACCTCCGATGCACATACACGACTACACACTCACACTTAAGTGTACTCACACACTAGCGCACACATACGTGGAGCGACTTGGAGCAGCTGCTGGTGTAATTGCTCGGGGTTGGATGAGGTTATAAATGTTTTTCAGTGGGTTGTGCAGCTCTAAAGAGAGGGCAGCTTATTAGTTTGGGACAACAAGTGAGAGTGTGTGTATCAATCGATTCTTCCCCTGTATGCTATGGTCGTCATTTGTCAGTGGTGTGTGTTGGCAGTTGACAGGATGCTAGCTATCACATACACAGTGTATAGAGGATGATATTTAAGGGAAGGATCATGCTGTTGTGTGTGTTTGTGTGCACGTATTTGTGATACAACAATGAACAACCTGGACCACCAAAACTTGTCTTATAACATTGAGGTTTGTTTAAAAGTCTCAGAGGAAACAAATGTCATTTCACACAGACAACAGACACATGTTCACCTAGTGTCTTGGGTCTGCTTGTTTAACTAACTTGTATGACATTTAGTCAAACATGTCTAACGGGGAAATTAACCTGGAAATGACTACTGTTTGTTTTCAATCAACAGTGTGTAATGCTCATCAACTATCACGCTAACTGCTAACAGTCTGCGATTAGCTACACAATTTGACTAGCTGGAATCACCACTCTCTATTGTTGTTGAAAGTCAGAAAGCTTTGTAGCTCTTCAAACATCAAAACGAGTGGTGTTTCTTTCTAGTGGAAATCCTAAATACTGAATGGAGCCTGTAACGATACACATGTTAGTTTGTCACTTTAGCGGCTTGAGCTAAAGTTACGTTAGCTTCACAGCCTGATAAGACAAGCTTCAAATAATGATAACAGATTACCTTGAAGATTTTAAATACTGTTGTGCTACCAAGCTAACCACCAAGTAGGCAACTTCTCTGTTTGTCTATTTTCAACAGGAAAGTGAAAGAATATATATTTTTACAGCTTCTGTTTAGGACTATTGATGGTTACACTTAAACACTTTCATTTTGCAGTTTGAACTACTCACAGAAGATTTGAAAATGACAACAAATCTGCTTCACGATCATTCATGTTTTTGAGTTATAATCAATGTCCTGCTTTCTGTGCTGTTGTTAGTCCAATTTAATTAGCCTTCCATTACATTTCAGGCTAAATTAAATAGCCTTGAGGTCTTAACACAATTAAAAACCTGTTGTTATTTTTCCGCATCACTTCCTTTACAATGTGTCTGATATGATATCATAACATGTCTACACCCCAAAAACATAGGCTTTCAGTGTTTCCCCCCCCCGGCAAGAAAAGCCAAAGGCCCCTATTCGGGTGGCCCAATCATCCACCCCCCCCCCTCAAATAATGGCTACTGTAGACAGCGTTCTTGTTGCTCTGTGTTGCGTTGTTAATGAGTGAGACACACCGGAGTTGAGGATCTGTGGGGTTTATTCTCCCAAAAATATAATTTACAATTCAGGCATTTAGCAGACGCCTTATTCCAAAGCGACTTACAATGACCGATTACAGGGACATTCTCCCTGGAGTAACTGAGGGCTAAGTGCCTTACTCAAGGGCACACTAGTAGTGGTGTTCCAGGCAGGATGTGAACTCGCAACCTTCCGATCATCAGCCCACCTCACTATCCATTAGACCACAAATAAATCAATATATGGGAAACACTGCGTTACCTAAAGATAAAGATGGACGCCACATATTTTAATATTTGCCTGATGCCTTGCAGTGACGTTAAGCCTGCTTAAATCACATGATAAAATACAAAAATTCATAAAGTCATGTGTTTGAATACATACGTTTATGTTATTAGATAGGAATTAGCTTAAAGATTCATCAACAGAATCGACTAATTTACACCTATAGATGCACACATACCGGCCTTCTCTCTCTCGTTCACTTTCTCACACACCTGCCGTCCTTTCTTCCTCCATGCTGTGCCACAGGTATTTGCTATGCATGGCCTATCAGCATGCAGCAGTGAGACGTGTCAGAAAGGGTGAGAGAGAGTGAAAAATCTGAGCTGTGAATCGAAGAAAAAGGAGAACAAAGAAAATATAAGAGGTAGGGAGTTGAGGAAAAGATGAAGACGAGCGAGACAGCTTTTTTACTTTTGGTCATATATTGAAGATACAGTAGCAAGGGGTGAGAGGGATAAGGAGGAAGGTAAGGGGGAGAATGGGAGTGGCAAATGTAGTGATATACAGTTAGGGAGGGAGAGGACGTATAAATACAAATAGATAGTTTGTGCTACAGTAAGCAGCCAACAAAGCTCACGCCTGACTTCCCTCGACCAATGACACCCTTCACTGCCTCCTTCTCACCTCCCTCTCTTAAAGGAAGGAAGTTAGAGAAAGAAAATGGGGGTAATAGACAGGGGATCGGAAACAAATGAAATTAGCATTGGAAGATGATTTTTTTAAACGAAGCATGAAGAGAGCAGTAAAAGAGACAGGTGAAAAAAGGTGGAGAGACGAGAGAGGTGGCAGCGTCTGTCTCCTTTTGTGTTCCACATGGATTCATCCCTTTCTGTCGGCCTTTCATTCACACTCGCTCGCTCTGTCATTGTCATGCTGGCACTCTCTTTTCACCCTTTTCTTTCCGGCTCCTCGACTTTTCACCCTCCTCTCGAGCCCATCACTCTGAGCTTTCTTTTCTCCCTCCTCTGCCTGAGTTTTATTTTTTTGGCTTTTTCTATTATAAGTAGGTCCTTTTAAAAGAAGGCTACATCTTTGTAAGAAAATATCTCATTTAGATTTTTCTGTGCCATATATTATTCATTCATTAATCTCCAAGCCAGTTTTGATATGAAAACAAGGTACTTTTGTATTAAAGTATGACCACAAACTGCAGATATCAGTTGCTTATTTAGTTGTATTTAATGTGATACGCCTGGAACATTAACTACTGTTAGCTTTACAATACATGTTTGTCTTGTTTGCTAAGAACCAAGCTAACTGCTAACTACCTGTCTGCGATTAGCGACACAATGTGACTAGCTATAATCAGCACTTTGTACAGATGTCAGATTAGCGGTTTAAGCTTAAACTACGTTAGCATCACATACCAATAACATTAGCGGCTACACTGTTTTTTTTAGGGTAACATATTGATACACGTTTTGACTAAAGCTAAGTGTTAACTCTCCGCCAACTGTCGGTTACCTAAGTGACGGCTAATTTGTCTCACATTTTGTCTTTTTTAATGGCCCCTTGATACAGATGTTAGCTTCAACGGCTTGAGCTATACGTTAGCATCACAGACTGATAAACTGCTTTAAGATAACATGCTTTAAATAATGATTCAAGTTTAACTTCATGCTGCTAGCCATCAATCTACAACTAACAAGCTAACCAA